GCTCAATTGTCCATTGAATGCATGATAAGTGAGAGCTTGTGATAATAGCAGTGCAGTGCACGGGTAGGGAGGATAGGCAGGTGTGACGTCACGGTATGCTTATGTGCGGTAGTGTTGAGTGGACTGACTGGCAGTCACTGGCAGTGAGTGTTTCATACCAGAGCTCATAGTTGTGTCAAACGGAGTCTCCACTGAACCACTCATTTGTTGTCCAAATTATGCCCCGAAAAGAGGACCTCACGAGCGATGATGTCGACCACAACAACGACCACACTCTCGATGGTGACGACAACAGACAATTGGGTGAGTGAGAGGGATGTCTATGCGTTTGCGAGGGGGTAGTCGTGTCGTGTCACTCAATACTATGGATTGCCGGCGAAAGTGATGATCACATCCAACACATGGCTTTGTTATGACACGAGTTCACGTGTTTTGGTGTCCAGTGATGGCCTGAGTGTGTCCGGCAGTGACCCGTAGTATGCGATCAGTCATAATAAGCGATCAAATAGTATTGATTGCGATTGTATTGCATTGAATTGAGTGAATGGGATAACTATTACGATAACTATTACTTATTAACATATAAAGCACTGTTTCCATGACTACCGTAGCCACACACCCGGGGCTGTCCCACACACTTGTCACCACTCGATGCCACTGATCCCTATCCCCAATAGACCCATCACTATGAACAAGATAAAAAGCACTTCTCATTCAATTGTGCTCACCATTAGTGGTGTCTTATTGGGCATCACTTGATTCACTCGCTATACTCTTTTGATGCCCTAAACTTTGCTACTGATTACAACAAATGAGACATTTTGTGAATATTGCTTATAATAGTGTAGGTGTTTATCATTAGTGATAAAATGATGAATTGTAAAGAGTTAGACAAGTTTGCAGTCAAATGAGACCATACTTTAGACATTCATGTGTCTCATCAGTTAGTCTTCACATGATTACTGCACTTATAGTTACTCTCAATTATTGTATTCATTAATTGGAAATATTTGAACTATTATTACAGATTCTAATCCAGCAATACAAATAATTTAAAGTTACTTAGTTTACACGACCTGTCTCAAATTATATGTTTCTTGCTGAATACTTTTCGATTTAAGATTTTCAATTAGTTTTCATAAACTTTTTCAGCTACAGTTTGCTTTTGCTTTACGCAAACTAAGCTCATATAGGCTCTGCTTTGATGAATAATGTTTAACAAGAATATTCTTTAGGACACAATCATAGATAATATACTGTTACATATAGTGGTTATTAAATCTATGCATATTTATTAACAATGCTAATGCTATAATTTAATATAAATTTAATACCATAATAAAGTTATTCTAGAATCTAGATGAGTACAGAATCTAGAATCTAGATGATAATCTAGATGAGTAACTGTATAGTTATCCCATACTGTATAACAAATGTTACGAAATAGTAGTACATTCTAGCGAAGAGTGCAGTCTATCGCGCGATTGTGAACAGTATTATTAAAACATATTTTTTCCAAACGTTTGTATACTTAAGATGAAGAGGATGTAGAGGATTGCGATGACGAGAATCAAGACGACGAACAACAAGAAGATGAGACAGAGATGGAGGCGGAGGACGATCAGGAGAGGGGTGAAGAGGGCATATCGGGTGCCAACGACTCTGAACTCGTGTACGGCGACGACAACGACAGCAATACTATAGAAATGCAATCGCAGTCACATAAGAGGAATAAGAAACGCAAAGCAAAAGACAACAGCGAGAAGAAGAGGGGGAAGAAGAAGAAGAAGAAAAAGAGCAGTTCAGCCGAAAGTCCCGACGAATTAAGCTTCGGTTTAATGGACGACCCGATGGCCGAATTGGACGCCGACTACCAAACGGAGGCAAAAAAGCCACGAAAAGGCAAGTCTGAGAGGACACAGAAAAGCGTTGAAGAGATTTGTGAGGAATTTGATTTGGAAGACGTGGGCTATGACTACACAGAAGCCGATTACCAGGATCTGACAAATTATAAACTTTTCTCACAACACATAAGACCTTTGATCGCAAAATCTAACCCAAAGATAGCGATGGGAAAAATGGTTACTCTTATATCTGCCAAATGGCGTGAATTTATTGCCAATAGTCCGCAGAAAGATATGGCGCAACTGGTCGATGAGGAAACTCCTAAAAAGGGGAAAAGACCTAAAGTGAAGTCCGTTCCGTCGATTAAGATAAAAATTGGTGGACTGAACGCCAATAAACGCAAGAAACACAACACTTCCGATGAAGAGGATAGCGGTGATGAGCCCAACAAAAGCGATGTTGAGTTTGAGGCGGCTTTGGAGGAGGCGGACAGAGCGACCCCTCCGCCAAAAATGGACAAAAAGAAAATTAAGAGTAAAAAACTCAAAAAGAAAAAGAAGACTAAAACGACTGCAAGTTTTCCGTCCGGAAACGGAAATTCAGACAATGAGAATGGCTATGAAACAGATCATCAGGACTACTGCGAAGTGTGCCAACAGGGCGGCGAAATCATCCTCTGCGACACCTGTCCGCGAGCCTACCATTTGGTGTGTTTGGAGCCAGAACTAGAAGAAGCCCCAGAAGGCAAGTGGAGTTGTCCTCACTGTGAAGGAGAGGGTGTTCCAGACCAAGAGGAAGAGGTCCCAACGGAGACCAACAATGATCATCACATGGAGTTCTGCAGAGTATGCAGAGATGGCGGTGAACTCCTGTGCTGTGATTCGTGTCCGTCTGCTTATCACACGTATTGCTTGACTCCTCCGTTGCGAACAGTGCCGGACGGGGAGTGGCAGTGCCCGCGCTGTGGGGTTGAGCCGTTGAAGGGAAAAGTAGCCAAAATCTTGACCTGGCGTTGGGCTGAGATCTACAAAGACGACGATCCAGTGATTGGCAGCGAACCCATGACTAACGATGACATTCCGGCCGCCCAGCCCTCCACCAGTAAGAAACCGCAGCCCAAACCTCAACGAGAATTCTTCGTCAAATGGCATGACATGAGTTATTGGCACTGCTCTTGGATTAGTGAAGTCCAGTTGGATGTATACCATCCCTCTATGTATCGCAACTATTGCCGCAAAACAGATATGGATGAACCGCCCCCTCTCGACGACGGCAGCTCTAATGAGATTATTGCCCCCATAGTGCCCACCCCTCCCGTTGAAGAGACCAACGCTGAGGGAGAGATTACAGCCGCCACTGGAATGAAACGTCTGGAGAAGAAGAAGGCCAACAGAAGTGATGTTAATCTTGAGGAGAAGTACTACAGATATGGCATTCGTCCGGAATGGCTGAACGTTCAGAGAGTTATAAACCACAAGACTCTACGCGACGGACGGGTAATGTATTTAGTGAAGTGGCGGGACTTGCCGTACGACCAGTGCTCGTGGGAATTCAATGACAACTCACAGCTCGAACTCGAAATCACAGAATTGAAGAAAGCCGTCGATTTTTATTGGGATTTAAGGAGTTCTGTCGACTCGTCCCTCAAGAAGAATAGCAGCGGTTCTAAGAAAGGGAAGGGAAAGAAGTCGAAGAATGAGCTGAGGAGTGAGGACTATGTCGGCCGATCCACTCCTCCTCCCGATAAGCCAACAGTAGACCCGAAGAAGAAATATGAATATCAGCCGCATTACATCGACGCCACGGGAATGGAGTTACATCCGTACCAATTAGAAGGCTGTAATTGGCTCCGCTATTCCTGGACTCATAAAACAGACACCATATTAGCCGATGAGATGGGTTTGGGAAAGACTATTCAGACAATTGTTTTCTTATACTCGCTATACAAAGAGGGTCACTGTAAGGGACCTTTCCTGGTGTCGGCGCCCCTCTCAACCATCATTAACTGGGAGCGAGAGTTTGAAGTCTGGGCTCCGGACTTCTATGTGGTTGGTTTGATTGCATTCAATTGATACTGTATGTGCTCTTTACTAATTGTCTTTATCACGACTTCAGGTGACATATATTGGCGACAAAGACAGTAGAGCTGTCATACGAGAGCACGAGTTGAGCTTCGAAGAGGGAGCCGTTCGCGGCGGTGCTAAGGCCTCGCGTGTTAGGAAGGACTGTCCCATCAAATTCCACGTTTTGCTCACCTCTTATGAACTGAATTGCATCGACGCGGCAACCCTTGGCTCACTGGAGTGGCAGGTGCTGGTCGTCGATGAGGCCCATCGTCTTAAGAACAATCAATCGAAGTTTTTCCGAATATTGAATTCGTATAAAATTAACTATAAGTTACTTTTGACGGGAACTCCGCTTCAGAACAATTTGGAAGAATTGTTTCATTTGTTAAACTTCTTGAGTTCAACGAGTTTTCATGATATGCAGGGATTCCTCAATGAGTTCGCAGAAATAGCCAAAGAAGAACAGGTGAAGAAATTGCATGACTTGTTGGGTCCGCATCTCCTCCGAAGACTCAAAGCCGATGTACTGAAAGGCATTCCCGCGAAGAGTGAGTTTATAGTTAGAGTGGATTTGGCGCCAATGCAGAAGAAGTACTATAAATACATATTAACCCGAAATTTTGAGGCGTTGAACACTAAGGGCGGCGGACATCAGGTCTCGTTAGTTAACATAATGATGGACCTGAAGAAGTGCTGTAACCACCCGTACCTCTTCCCGGCGGCCGCACAAGAGGCGCCCAAAATGCCGAACGGCGCCTATGAAGGCAATGCACTCGTGAGGTCTTGCGGTAAACTTATATTACTTCAGAATATGATGAGAAAACTACACAATGAAGGCCATCGGGTGCTTATATTCTCGCAAATGACTCGAATGTTAGACATTTTGGAAGACTTTCTTGAGTTTGAAGGATACAAATACGAGCGAATCGACGGCGGAATTACCGGTAGTTTACGTCAAGAAGCGATCGATCGTTTCAATACACCCGGAGCTCCACAGTTCTGCTTTTTACTGTCCACTCGTGCGGGTGGTCTTGGGATTAATTTGGCCACCGCTGACACTGTCGTCATCTATGACTCCGATTGGAATCCACACAATGATATTCAAGCATTCAGTAGAGCCCATCGTATAGGACAGGCCAACAAAGTAATGATATATTTCTTCTCGCTGTTGTCTTTTGCTTTGCGTTTCTTATTCCTCTTATGTGACTGCGATTGCATTTCTATAGTATTGCTGTCGTTGTCGTCGCCGTACACGAGTTCAGAGTCGTTGGCACCCGATATGCTCTCTTCACCTCTCTCCTGGTCGTCCTCCGCCTCCATCTCTGTCTCATCTTCTTGTTGTTCGTCGTCTTGATTCTCGTCATCGCAATCCTCTACATCCTCTTCATCTTAAGTATACAAACGTTTCGAAAAAATGTTTTAATAATACTGTTCACAATCTGCGATAGAATGTACTACTATTCCGTAACATTAGTTATACAGTACTGTATAGTATGGGATAACTATACAGTTACTCATCTAGATTCTAGAATAACTTTATTATGATATTCAATTTATATTAAATTATAGCATTGGCATTGGTAATAAATATGCATAGATTTAATAACCACTATATGTAACAGTATATTATCTATGATTGTGTCCTAAAGAATATTCTTGTTAAACATTATTCATCAAAGCAGAGCCTATATGAGCTTAGTTTGCGTAA